TGATTCATGGCCCACAACCTGCTCTAAAATCCACTTTGCAACCAACTGTGTTTCCTAAAGAAAGACTCCATTTCAGGGACAAACTGCAAATCAACTGGTTTTGCAAAAAACAGCCTGAAATTATAAAAAAATAATGCTTGGCACTTCATGCCCTTACCCCTTATTACCCCAAGACCAAGGGATCTTGGGAAGGTGACATACCATCTCTGAACTTCCATTTTCTTATCTGTATAAATCATAACTACTTGGTAGGTTTACTGTGAGCATCAAATGAAGTCCTTGCCACAGGGCCTGTCTCCTAAAAGCCACCACAGGTTGCAATGTTGAAGGTACTGTCCCCACTTATACATCACAGGTTTATTAAAAGATAGTCTGAAAATGTTTTTTAATCTTGGAGGAATTATGTAAATGCACTGTGGGGCCATGTACAGTCAGCCTGTTTGTAATATCTGTCTTTTCTTGCTTTCAAAAATGGTAAAAACCTGGTTTCCGCTTCTGAATTACAATCAGCCCCTATCATAAGCAGTATCTTGGCTGTTTCCAGGCTGTGTTATAAAACTCTGGAATGTTGGCCTATGATCTTCTAGAACTGTTGTATATGAAATGTGTGGTTCCTTTGTCCCTACCAAAAGGGAGGGAGTGTGTACAAATACATCGAAGCAGCAATGAGTGTGCCTGAACTATGACTGTTGGGTCAGACTCTTCACACCTTGGGCACCTCACCTATGAATGACCTAAACAGTGAAGGTTTGCACTTTGTAGGGATATCCAAGCCTCATAGGAATTTGGTTCTTAGTGAATTCTGAATGCATATGGCTGTGGGAAGGGAGGGAGGAATGCAGGATGTTGCAAAGAAGCCTTATCTAACGTGTCTTTTGAAGAGAGATGCTATTGGAAACAGTGGTTTATTAAGAGATAGTGTAGCCCTCTAGGGCCCTGGAAACCTGGCTCTGGACTCCTCTCTCTTACTAAGTCAACACTGGACCTAGCCAGCTGTGTTACCTTTTAGGGATCTCAGGTACCTTTCTAAAGGTAAGGTTGTTGGATCAGGTGATGGCCTCCACACATCAACTCATGCTGTGTCTAGCTGTGAGGTGTGCCGCTCTGATTTATATTGACCCAGAGAAGTGGGGCAGTGAGTAAAAGGCCTCCCGCTGTTGCCAGAGCACTGCTCAGGGCTTGGCCTGCCTGCTGGTCTTGAGTAACACCTGTCTTCAGAGCATATGATGAGTTTACTCTACACCAAAGTGTCCTCCCAACTGCAGAGTCAGCATAGCCAAGATTTCCGCAAACAAGGTCCCTTTTCACATTTCAGTGGCTGGGTCCACTGAAGGCAGGGTGGCTGCCTAAAGCAGTGGTTCTTCTAGTGCATTCCTGGTGTATTTCCCAAACCAACAGCATCCACGGCACCTGGAACTGTTAGAAATGCAGATTCTGAAGCCCAAGCCCAGGTCTACTGAATCAGCAACTCTAGCACTCGCCCAGAAAACTGTGTTATAACAAGCAGTCCTGAGCATTGTGATGCTCACTGAAGTTTCGTAGCCACTGGCTTGGAGCATCCTGCGCTCGGGGCACATGTGGCTTCAGAAGGTGTTCAGTGGGCTGTTACTTAATACAACTTGACATTAGTTCAATCAAGTGGGTCTCATACTCCCAGTTCTCATTGAATTGAATCTTCTTTAGCCACTTCTTAGAAGCCCTTTTCTTTCAGGTACTAAAATAGGACTAGGGCTCTGTGGCAAGAAGCAGCCTCAAAGGGTTAATGCGCTGAAAACCTGCGTGAGAATCTGGCCTAATAAGACCTCTGTGTTAATACAGGAGCACTCCTTCACGCAGGAGTCAGCAGGAAGTGGTATTGGCTTCTGATTTTGATATTGGCCACCTGACCAAATACAGTTAGAAGAAACCTAATGCAGCATTTCCACGAATTTCTGCAGGCCTGGTACACAGAAAGTGCTCAAGTGTCTACGGCCTGCTGGTGGTTACATGAGCTTATCCACAGAGCAGCACCTGACAGACACAAAGGCACTGCAGGGGTTGTTGTCTGTGGCCCTGGGTCAGGTCTTGCCTTGATAACTAACTGGTGGTGTGATTCAGGGTAATTTTACCTGAAGAGGCCTTACTGGCTTCACCTGTAACATAGAAATGGAACACGATCCCCAGAGCCTCTTAATCTCCTTTTTGTTTAGCAATGATGCTTTGCAGTCTTAAAGATTTTGGAAAAGAGAATGGTGCCTAGTGACTTCAGAATGGAGGAGAGAGTTGACTAGGCTGAAAAGTAGTGCGATAGCAACACTGCTTCTGCAAGGGCCTTGCTAAGCTGTGGGTAAGGCAGGCTGCGTCCATGACGCTGCACACTAAATCCAACCCAGCTGGGTTTGTCCCACAGAGTAATTGCTGCACTGTCTTGAAGACACATTCTAATTCTGGAGGAGTCACTGGCCCCTTCTACAAGAAGGCTGATCTCGCAATGCAAACCTCTGCTTTACCTGAATCTTTAAGTTATAGCTTGAGCCAGTTAAAGGTCTTCTCAATTTTTTCCCCTCCTAAACTCAAGGGGTGCTTTTTCTCTTCTTGTATCTAGACCTTCTTCCTATCACAGTCTTGAGGATACTGCCCCCAAAGTGGTTGCAAAGCCCAGACTACCTCCTCTCCCTTCCCCTGCAGCATAGGCTTTATAAAGGGTTTTGCTTGTTAAATGTTCGCTTTCTGAGCTGAGGGCTGTCTTTCTTTCTCTTTTTTTTTCTTCTTCCTCTTAAGCCCTTGCATAACAATCTTGTTTTAACCTTTTGCCAAATTCTATACTTCTGACAGTCAGAGGTTACTACAAGTGTTTGAATAGGTAACTTCTACTTTTGAACCTCTATTGCAACAGGTTCAAAGGTTCCAGGGGAGCTTGTTGGTCACTTTCAGGACGGTACGCATTGGCTTCAGGTGTGGCCCAGTTCCAGGAGCTGCGGAAAGGACAGAGGTACCTGAATGTGGTACTGAACCAGTACAGTCAGCTGTGAGTGGTGCATTTTCTGGGCCCAGGGAGTGAGAGTATTCTCACAAGGTAAGTTTCAATAATCCTGCCTCTCTATAGTTTATATATATCTATGGGACAGTTTGGAACGGGGTGGTTTGGGGGGAAAGAACGTGAGACATGTCTATTCTCAGCCTAAGGTTCTTTTACCACATGAAATTATCTTTGGTTGAGTAGTAATTTCACCTGACTTGGGGGGAGGCAAAGAAAAAGCTACTTGGAAAGGGGCAAGTCCCCAAAACTATCTGAATGCTGGCAAGAGATAGACTTGAAACAAAGTTATTAATGTCACCAAATTCAACTGAAAGAGACTTATAAGTTTTAAGGGTCATAGATAAAACCAGGATGTGGTCTCCATCCTCCATTCAGAAAATTCTGTATCAATATGGCTAGAAAGGCTGTTCATTAGCTGCTATTAGCAGTGACTCCCATTTAGGAGGGATAAGAAGAAGGGAATCCCTAGCAGACATCCTATTAGGTTCTGGGTCTGTACTAGGTGTATGAAATGCATTACCTTATTAGCCCACCACTTCCTATAAGGTAGGTCCTATCATTTCCATTTCATAGATGGATAATGTGCCTCTGGGCTCTTAAGCAGCATGGCTGGACCTACATTTTTAGGAGGTGGTATGGCTAGGATTAGAGTTCTGATTAGTCTGTCACTGCCCATTGCTACATAATGCATAATTCTTGTGTGTTGCCAAAATTTTCCATTATTCCTTCAAATCTTGGGAGTGTCCTGCGTGTGCACATAGGAAAAGTAGGAATGCAACTCCACTAGAACTTTAGAATGACCCAGATGCTTCTGAACTTGACCATGCAATCCTGGAGGAAACTAGAAAAAAAAGAAAGAAAGAAAAACAGAAAGAAAAAGAAAAGATTCATCTTCTCCTGGCCCTGAACTCTTCACCTGGTTTGCCAAAGAAGACAGCACCCAGAGAGAGCCTGGCGGTGTCAGAATGGCTGAGATTTTACACCTATTCTGCCATCCTGTACCATCTGCTGGAGGAAACTGCCTCTTAGGGAGATGAGCTCCTGAAACTAAGCAAAGTCAAGTTCTTCCACCATGAGATGACCCAGAAGATGGAATGGCAGGGGGGCTGCCCTCACTTCTCTGTACTTAGTCTTTCTCCCATGTCTCAGGTGGGCTCCTGTGAGGCCCAGGGAACAGCTTGTGTTCTCTGAAATTGTGGCACAGCTCACTGTGGCTTTTTCAGATGGAAGCTTTTTGGACATCCTTTCTGTAGAGAGAATGGGTCCTAGTCTAGCTCTAGTAAAGGGGTTGGCTCATACTGAACTTAGGAGCATTCCTGAAGGGACCATGGCTGGAAAAAGTGTTGCCTAACTCCAGGGGGTCTGTGAGGTGGTTGGTGTGGGCGCAGGAAGTGGCAGGAGAACTTGTTCTTCTGGCCTCCCAATCTGTGAATGGAAGCTCCCATGAGCTGCTGTGCGCATAGCCTTAGTGAGACTACTACAGGTCCTCATATTCTACCGACCAATCGTCAAGACCCTTTCAGGGGGTCTGCACATTCAAAATCAGTTTTATAGTGATACGAAGAGGTGATTTGCCTTTTCCCCTGTCATTGTCTCATGCACGTACAGTGGAGTTTTCCAGAAGCTACAAGATGCAGGATCAATCTGACAGCTAATGTGTATGTGTTTGTATATTCCTGTGGGTTAAAATTTTTCCAGTTTTAATTTGGGAGGTGAGGAAGACAGCAGAATACATTTTGAGTTTCAATTGTGAGGTATCACAAGGATGAGCCAGCATGTCAGAGGATAAAAACAAAGACTCTCTGTCCCTGCCCGTCGTTCCTGACTCGCTTGTTTTGTTGGCTCTATCAGAACTGCTTGGAGACTGCAGCAGGTACCCTGGAGGTCAGGGAGAGGGTGTGGCAGTGCTGGGCTGGGTGGCCTCCGGGTTCCCCACCGTCTTTAGAGGGATGTGAGGGCTGAGATGGCCTCCGGCTGGATGTTCCTGTGCTGGGAATCTGGTGAGAGTGGTGTTGCCTCTCTGACACTGGGGGTCTAGGCAAGCACCTCGAGTCCATTTCGCTTGTTTGTTTTGTTTGTCTTGGTTTAGAGGCAGTCAGACAGAGGACAAGGTGAATTGTGTGTTGCGGGCTGGCTTTTGTTTCAGCCCGCAGGGACTGGGGTTAAAGGCTTTGAAAACAAGCCAGGGGAGCTCTGGCGGCTTTTCTTCTCCTGGTCAGAACGCTTCCACTTTCAGTTGTGAAAGAAAAACCAGGAAGTGAAGTCTCCGCATGTTAGAAAGCCCAGCATGGTCTCACTCGGGACAGCTCAGACAGGACGGCACCGGGGACACTGAGTGGCCCCCTGCCTGCATGGGTGCTCTGCAGCCACCCCAGCCCTGGAAGAGCCGGGGCTAAGGGGAGAGAGGCGGGGACCCTATACCAGGAAGAACTCCGAGCCAGGAAGCCCATTCTCTGGGAGCACCAAGACATGCGGCCCCCTCACAGGGTAAGGGGACCATCTGGATGGCGATAGAGGGTGGGGATCAGCAAGGGCCCTTAGGAGTGTGGAGCAGAGGCTGAGGGGGCCTCCTGACCCCCAGCTTCAGCCAATCTAGAGCTTGCTGTGTCCCAGGCACATGTCAGCACACTCTCTCTCCCTGGGCTCTAAGGGACACATTTCAACTCTCCTTCTCAGGAGGGATGAGGGGAAGGAGGAATGTGGGGCATGGATTGGATTTTCTTTCTCCTGCCTCTCTTGGAGAAGATGAACCACAAGTGAGACCTCTTTTTGTGGATCTGCGCATCTACCACAGCTCCCCTGGGGTAGGCAGAGGGGTGGCCCTCAATTTTAATTTGGACTTTGCCTCCTTCCTTCCTGTAGTAAGAGCTGATGAATGAGTGTCTGACGGAATGGTTTCTGCATGAAGTTGGATCGGTTTTAAAGGGTGGGGCCACAAGTTGAATCTAAGCTGTACTTCAAGGACCTTCAAGAAGTGAGTCCTGGGAAGGGCTCCATGGCTCAGACTGGCTACTTTCTGTGGGTATCAGTCTTTTTGGTGGTTTGAAAAGTGGTATTGAATCTACAGCTCCAACTTGCAGGTGATTGGTTACCTCTAACAAGAGCAGAGTCTTAAAAATAATTAAATTAAGTTAAACCAACTTTATTCTAGTTTTGAAAATAAAAGACTGGTCTAGTTAAAAAAGAAAAAAGAAATAAATCCCTCCGTCTAAATTCCAGCATGGGAGTTCCTCTATAGTGGTCTACTCTAACTGACAAGTGTTTCACATGAACACAGAATAGTTTTGAAAGAGGCACGGTATGAATCTTGTAGACATCACTGTGTGTTTGGCAGAACAAGAGGAACAAAAACCATAAAAACAAGAGACACAGATACTTACAAAGCAGTCAGGTAGTATAGCTACGTAAAGTGCATGATATAATAAGATGAAGATGGTAGGGACTTTGGCAAAATGCAAGGCAAGTGTATTTCAATTTAATTTGTTTTTACAAGCATTATTCAGCCCAAACAATGTTTCAGGTAGGTACTGGGCAGGTCCTGACCTAAAATAGTCTTTTTTTCAGCTTGTCTTCTGTCTCTTTGAAGACAAAGACAATAATATTAGAGTGTCAGTGAATGCCTAAGTGCTAACTATGCACTGGGGGCCAAAGATTCTACAAGGAAGCTGAGGTCGGGGGATGGATGGAAAAGGGGAAGAGGAAGCCAGTTAAGGCCCAGCTTACAGTACATACTCTTACATTTAACTGAGGCAATGAGGTAGATGGTTTCACCATTTTATGGTTGAAAGAGTAGGTTCAGAGAGGGGAAGCAACTTTCCCAAGATCACAAAGTAGCCAGTTGTCAAACTGAAGCTGCAGTCGGTGTGACGCTAAAAACCATGTTCCATTCACTCTTGTGTACAGTTAGCCTTTCTTCAGATTTCTTAGGATATTTCATCTGTAGAAAGATTTTCATGTATGATGACCGGGGCAGACATTGAGTTCACAGTTATCATTTTTTAGGGTAAGGTGTGTCTTGAATTGCAAGTATTACTTGACTGTTTTCTATGGGGCTTTGTTATGCTTACTGTCTTATAGGGCTTTTATCTTTTGATCTTCAAAACAGCCCTATGAGATAGATACTTTTTTCCCTAGATGGGGAAACTGAGGCTCAGAAGAAAAGAAACTGGACACACTATGAACAGACTGGAGTTCGAATTTGAATGCTGGCTCATTTAGTTCCAAAGGCAAACTGTGCCTCAATTTCAGATAAGTATAGTTTAGTACATGGGCCAAAAAATTAGAACCTGAGAGAAATTCCTCTTTTAAAAATCCTTGTACTTTAAATCCAAAGAGACAGAAAGCAGGCAGTGGTTGCCTAGAATTGGGAGGACAGAGGAATGGGGAGTAACTGCTTCACAGGTTCAGGTCTCCTTTGGGAATGATGGAAACGTCTGGAACCAGAAAGGGGTGTTAGTTGCACAACACTGTGAACGTACTAAATGCCACTGAATTGTTCACCTTAAAATGGTTAATTTAATGTTATGTGAATTGCACTTCAAAAAAAAAAATTCCTCCCACCTGTGGGCAGGTGAATTCCCAGACCAGGATTTGGCAACGTTTTAGAAACCAGGAATGAAGTTCCTGCCCCTGTTTCATGTTCCTAGCCAACAGATGCACTGACCCTCATTTGGGGTGTAGCACTCTTGGCTGGCAGCTTCTGCAAAGGTGATGTGTCCCAACAACCCTGAGTTCAGCCATTGTTGCTCTCACTACACTAAGCTATAAATACATTGAAGTCTGTTTCTCCCCTATGTGGCCATGTGTCTTGAGGTCAGAAATGGACTCTCTCTCTCACTCTTTCACTGGACACAGGGCCTCATATTTCCCAGGGTCTTCATTCATGTTGTTTGGATAAACACATATGTTCTGGAATTTGGAAGTTCAGGCAGCCTTTATATGGCTGTGGCCAGGCCATGGTATCAACCCTTTTTGGGGAGCTAGTAGATTTCCAGGTCTCCATGGGTCATTCTACTCTTCAACTGTAAGGTTATGAGTGGCTTGTGGGAGGAGGCAGGGGAGGGGTGGGGCCAGGGGGAAATGGCTGGGTTAGAGCTCAGAGGTGGCTCATGCTCTCTCCAATTAGAAATTTTCTGTTTAAAAAGAAACAAGGAGTTGCTAAGGCTTTTGTATGTAAGTTGAAAGGCAGGTATAGTATGAAGATCGTATCATCTCTTTTCTTTTAGGACATCTCAAAATAGAACATCTGATGTTGACAAGGAGTTAGTGACTGAGGGAAGTGGAAGGGGCTAGAAGAATCCTCTTTACTGAGTACTTCTCCTGCTCCTGGCAGTGTGCTCTAGGGACACCCATGGAATCCCCTTTAAGTAGGGACTATTACCTGCCCCTTCTTGTGTGCAGTGGAGGGACACTGTTCCCAGGGCCACACATTTGGTAAGTGGTAGAGCTGTGTCTCTGGTACCTAGAAAGACAATAGTCTTGAATGTTTGCCCCTGGAAATGAGAGTGTGGGCAATAAAGTTTGTTGTTTGCACTTTGCATATGGTAACCCCCGGCCTTTGACCATCCAGATGGTGTGAGGGCCAACCCTGCAGAGGTCCTGGGCAGGGAGGCCTCCTCTTTCACAACGTCTTGCATCACTGTCCTTCTCCTACTTGGATGATGGGGACCTGGCACTTTGTCCAGCTTATCTTTTTACAGGCTCTCTTATCCAGTCCCAGGGACTTCTGACACCAGTTCCTCCAACTCCAATTCTCTCATAATTCACTTGGTCAGCAAGAGGCTTAGGAGCTTTGAGGTGTTTACTGAGGGGCAAGGTTATTCACAGGGTAGGGTTGCTGGGCTATCATATGTTAGAAGTATGGTGGTAGATCACGGCTGACTCTGTCAATCTGAGACATGGTGGGATTTGCTCCTGCCTGTCACCAGATTATGAGTAGCTCAACAACTATCCTATGCTATCTTCATGAACTGAGTTAAGAGGCTTTTGGATTTGACTTAATGAATATTTCCTATTAAATACCTCTCAGATCAACTGGCCAAGGCCTGGTGCCCCAAAGCGCTATGGTATTTGTGAACTGAAAACTCCAGTGGTGTTGTGTTTCCAGCCGGCTCCCGGCACTGTCTCATTCAGCTTTCCTGAAGGTTTTCTCTTTTTTCCCCATTCAGCTAAAGATGGATCCTCTAACTCCATTAGACATACCTCTTAACCACTTCCCTTCCTCAAATGCTCACCCCTCTTTGGTGCCTCTGGAGCCTACTCCACCTCACCCCGCTCTGGGTATCCCCTTCCTCCCTTCCACTTAGGTTTATCCAACCTAATGTGGTGACAGGTCTGTCCATGGAAACATGGATGAAGGGACAGCGAAGAGAGTTGGGAGAGTGACACTGGTCAGTGACGTAGTTGGGGTCTAACTAGCCATTGGCTTCACTGCTGGGGTCATCCTCCTTGACTGACCCTGGAAATGAGATTATTGGCAATAAAATCAAAGGATCAAGGACCACACATCCTTGAGGGTCTAGTGCTCCATACAACTGTCTTCATCTATTCTAGTCTACACTAGCCTTTCCCTTCAAATTAATTAGCTCATCCCACACACTGAATCCTTCATTAAGTGTTTTTAGTGTTTGATAGACTCTAGAGGGAAGGAGCTATGTCTTTTACATGTTTGTCCCTCTGCACATGATATGGTGCTGGACACACAGTGGGTCCAAGATCTTTGATTGCCTTAGTAAAAGTAAATTATAAGTAAATTTAAAGCACAGAGGGTAAACATAGATCTTGCCACACACATACTTCACCAGTTCACCAGAAGCTCCCAGAGCTGGAGTATATCCTATAAAGCATTTGTTTACTGCCTGGGGAATTGGCTTTATCCCCTATTAGATGATGGATTCTGGTGCCTTCCCCCATGCTGAACAAACTGCCAGGCACATCACAGGTGCTTACATACTCAAATGCTTGCAGAATGAGCATTCAGGTCAGGCTCCTTAGCATTGTC